CAGCTGCCCGGGTTGTGGTCCCTCGATCTCGGGAGATCGGACCGCCGCAGCAGCTCGCACCTCTCCACGAACTGCAGGTGCCGGCGCAGCTCCGCGGAGGACTCCGGGGAGTCGCCGAAGGGTGAGGTAGGGATGCTGGAGACAGGGTCCCGGCTGGCCGCCTCCCGCTCGTGCTGGCCCCGCAGGTCCTCCATCTCCGCCTTGAGGCCCCTGTTCTCCACCTCCAGCTCGACGATCTTCCGGCCCAGGATGTTGGCCTCCTCCTCCACCAGCTTCAGCCGCAGCTTCAGCTCGGCCTCCCGGGTGCTGGGCGGCCCGCCCGCCTCGCCGGTGGGCAGGGGGCTGTCCACGTCCCCGTAGAGGGCCCTGTACCTCTGCAGCTCCTGCTCCAGCCCGTCCTTCTCCCGCCCCAGCTTAGCCATCTTCCTGAGCATCAGGGAGCCCTCCTCTTTGGCAAACTGAAGCTGGCACTTCAGATCGGCACTGTCATCCTGCCAGGAGAGAACAGCCAGGAGGAGGGTTATTTGAAAATACCAAATGTTCCTGTTTTTGACGACTTCCCTCGCACCTCGCCCCCGACACACAAACACAAAACACCAATCTCTCCATCAGTGTGTTGAGGCATGTGGAGAGGGGCCACGACAGAGCCGGGGCCTCCACGGGGGACAAGGGCCTACGTTAGGGGCTTTGCCGCAGAAACAAAGGCAACGAGGAGCCTGAACAGCGTGCACATGACACCATCGTACAGAGGATGAGTGCAGACGAGTGAACGGAATGAAACCCAGTGCCATAAGCAATGCGCACGCCCCCGCCTTACTCTGCGGGTCCGACCTGACCAGCGAGAGACCCTGGACCCCTCGTGAGGCCAGGGGCAGGGGGACAGGCCTCCATGGCTACTTCTACCCATTGTCACTCACCTCCATGGCACAGACCTCCCTCATCAGAGGGGCTGGCGTCACCACAGGTGTGACTAGCATGAGGAAGCCAGGCCATCCGGCTCTCCACGGATTTGCTGAGAACCGGAGACAGGGCAATCTGGCACTCCTCCCCGCCTCCCCTCTCCCAGCCTATCACAGGGACATGAGGACATCACGAGGTGACAGGCATGAGGATGCTTTAGAAGTCGAGATGCAGAGTACATCCCAAGCTCAGATGGCTGGTTAGTGTGAACTGGTTCCTGCAGACCTGAGACCTGGGCTACTCACACCCTTCTCCCCATGCAAACGCAACTTCAGAGCCTCTAGTCAGTCCCACTCCCTTTAGCTGCTCTAACAGCCGGGAATTAAATTCAGAAACCCGAGGCTCGCTGGGACACAGTGGATCCTGGAGGGTCACTGGAGCGGGCTCTCTGCTACTAGAAGCCCACACTGCTCGGCTAAAGGCCAAGAAGGCACTTTCTGGACCAACTGGACAGTGGCGCCCTGGGGCTCCGTGAGCTCTGGATTCAGGCTTGCACCATATTTTACTAGTCACATTCAGTCATTGGCGACAACAGCCGATTTCTGCTGATTGGCTATTAAGTTTCAAAAGTCTGTCACGGGGACAAAGACTTTGGTGAAGGCTTCTCTCATCATGCAACTCCAGCGCCCTGCTGGGTGATGGCCACATGCCAGCAGGCCAAGGGAGCGAGAGCCAGCACACCAGCCTCTGCACCCAGTCAGCCCTCTGCGGGACGGTGAACCCTTCCAGACAGACCATCACTTGTGCGCAAGTGGTCTGTCAGGGAGACACAGCTCTCAGCCTCCGAGACACAGCTCATTCTTGGCTGTTCCGTGCTGCATGCTCACCATGGGTAGAAAGACATAGGAAGACCTCCTTGGGTGTGCCCAACTTTTCTCCTTCCACCCTGCCTAGACTCCCCCTGCCCACACCACATACCCACGGAAGGAAAGAAAAGCAGGGTGACCAGGAAGACTGAAGGAAAAATCTGAGGCCAGCTGTGAGCCAGTGCTGCGTGGAAGCAGCCCTGGGGCTGCCTGTGCGTCCTCTGAGGGAGGCACACCCTCACCGCCACCCGCTGAGCGGGAACTGACCAGTCCTGCCCTTTCCGCATGTGGCACCAGGGCCTGAGCGCTGGGCCCTGGAAAGCTGTCTCCTTATGTCCAAAGCAGGACCTTCACTCAGCCGAAGTTGACGTGAAGGTGCAGCGGAATCGCACACAGCAGAGGGGCTAGTACGCGGTCAGGCTCCACTTTCTGCTTTGTCTGAAACTCAGTTACCACTGGGGAAAGGAGCCAGGAACTGCTTTTTTCCCCCATTTCGCACATCAGGAGAGTAATATATATAAGTGTCCCTGGGAAGAAAGCATGGTCTTTATGCTCCAAGAACTTGTCACATTAAAGAGTTCGTTGGTTTGGGATCAGTCAGACGTTAACAAGGGCTTCTGTGATGAACCGGAAATTAAGTTGAGTGTCTGCCCCACCCAGCTGAGCAGCACGGGTTACCACTGCTGCTGGGTTAACAACAGAGATTTAAAGGGCCCACAGAGTAGGTGGGCTGTGAAAGGCACACACTGTCTAGTCCTAACACTAAGGGAGACGCATACGTATTTGTTGATTCATTCATCGCTACAGTAAATACTGAATCCTCCTGTCCACCAGAAGTTGGCATGTTCAACAGCCCAGCTGCTGAGAACTCTCCAAAGCAGAACAGTTAAAAGCACCTTTTCAGGTTTTGATAAATGCAGACTTAAAAAAAAAATCTGCGTGTCCAGATACCCGGAGGGGGCTTTGCTGCTCACGTGCAGGGCTGGAGCTTGAGTGAGCTAGACTATGCGTCGGTGCAGACAGACCGTCAGTGCTCCATAAACGGGTCAGACGGGGCGTGACAAGCCTAAAACAGGAAGACCGCCAGCCCCCGCATTAACTGCAGAGCCAGCATTTGTCCTGTGTGCAGTCAAGATCACCTGCACGACCCAGTCTCTGCCACGAGGCAGGGAAATACACCTTCGTGCCTGAGGACAGCCAGACACCGTGGAAGAGAATGTCACCAGCCACAAGGGAACCCCCTCCAGCCTGGGACGGCCCAGGGACAGGCAGGATCCCCTGCTGTGACCAACGTCCTGACCGTACTCCCATGGGAAACGACGTCTGGCGAGGCCCCGGCAAGGAGGAGGCCGAGGAGCAGAGTCACCTGCCCGGTCCCGGAGACTTTCATCTCCAACGCAGACCAGGGAACTGCAGGCCATCTTTCCTAAGGGCCTCCCCCAAAAGCTGAGCGGAGAAATTAGGGAACCCGGGCCTTCCCCAAGGGCTCTGCACTGGGTTGTAACTGCTCATCTGCACCCTTTATCCAGGTGGAAGATCCCAAAGAGCCCTCAGATTGCCTTGATTTCTGAAAACCTTGTACTGCATCCACCCCCTACCCTCAGTTCCCCACAAGTCTGATTATAAACCAGAACCATCCTCCTGTCTCCTTGAACTTTAACCCAGGTCAGTTAAAGAAGCAAGACTCAGTGATAAACCGTAGGAAGTGTCCGATTCATTGGTGACCTGAGGACTGAGAAAACGTCCCAACAGTCTTCCTGCTCCTTAAAGAAAGAAACCACCCGCGCGCCAGGGACTGTAACGCACGGCTGGAGCACGCATCGTGTCTACTCGGCACCCGTGCACGGCCAGGCCTGCCGCCAAGACCAGCGCAGTTTCCAAAAGAAAGGCACTCTCTGGAGCCGAAGGGGTGTACGGATCTACCGAAGGGGTCAGACTCCCTCGGTAGGTCGGTGGAGGCGGCTGGAGCCAGCACACAGGGGAAATGGGAGGCAGGGGAACTGGCTCGGCCTGTTCTGGGGCGGGAGCCATGTCTTCTAAAGGATGGGGAATCACAGCCTCGGCTAAGCAGCAGGGGCAGGACCCCCATCTTAGCTCGTAACCGGAGAATTCCTCAAACTCCAAGGCTCCCAGGAGGGGTCTAGGCCAATATCAAGGTCTGGTTTCAGGAGATGGTCAGGGAGCTCCGGTATGCAGCCTGAAAGCAGATCCAGAACCTTTCCCCATGACCCTTCTGGTGCAGGCAGAGAAGGCAAGCTCAGCACCGAGGTGGGGACACACGCAGGGCCACCGCCACCACCACCAGCTGGAAAGGCCTTGCCAAGCAACAGAAATATATCGCCGCAGGTATATATTCTTTGGCTTGCAAGTCTGCCATCTGGCCAGCACCCGAGCGCCGACGGCTCGTGTTCCTACCTTGTGCCGGGGGGCCAGCTTCCTTTGACTTTTGGTTGCAGACCTGCAGTTCCCGGGGCGCTCCACTCCGCCACTCTGCTGGACAGAAACTCCGCGCTCAGCGGCACCGCAGGCTGGGCACTTAACCCCTTCCCGAGCCCGGGTGTCCCAGCCGCGGTCCTCAGCCTGGTTCACCCGGTGCGTGCACCACAGGCTGCTCGCTCCGAGACGGGGCAGAGATTATTACCCTTCTAAAGAAAAGATCTTCCCTGTTCAGGAGCCAGGAAGCTGAAACACACTTGGAGCTCCGGAGGGCTGATGCACCCAGCAGCAGGGACGAGAGACCTAAATGTCCCCATCACTAGTGGATTCCAAAGTGAGACATGGGGAGCAGAGATGTGGATGGCAGAGAACAGCTAACCACTGGCATTCCTCTGGCTCGTGCAGCCTGGCCCTCCCTCCTTGAAGGCTACTCTGGGGACCGGGGGCTTTGGAGGATGGAGAAATTGGAGGGAATCGGGTGTGGATTCACGTGGCGGGGGGGGGTGCAGTTTCCTGGACTGACTGCATCTCTCTGATGACTGCTTGCTCTGGGAGCTCCAGGAGCTGACACCCCCAGAACGCCTTCTTCTATCAACACCAAATACTAGCAGCAATTTAAAAAAAGGAAGAAGGGTGGGGGGAGAGAGAAAGAAAGAGAAAAAGGAAGGAACAAAAGAAAACAAAGAAAAGCCAGGAAAACAAGTGTTCCAGAAAGCTCAGGGAGTTCCGAAGAGCACATGCCACGCGCACAGACGGGACGACGCTGTCACCACCTTCCAGAGACGGCGTCTCGCCGTCTATGAGGACAATCTGAGATTCTGTTTAGCATGTGCGTTTTTTTGGGAAAAAACCCAACACTCCAAACAGCGTTTTGTGGAGACCCGAGCAGACGGCAGCTACACCGTTCCGTTGCACTCCTTCTCTGGGTGAAGGGCTGAGGGGCTGCCGCCAGCCGTGGGCGCCGCAGAGCCCTGAGCTGCACCGGGTGCGCTGCGCTCTTGCCTGGAGGACTCACCAGCGGCCTGACGCCAGCAGCGGAAGGCGGAGCTGCAGGCCTGGGGAGACACTTTTCAGCCCTGGAGGCTTTGAGTGAGCCCAGTTTGGGGGGCAGGTCGGGTTTCTTTACTACGTTAGAGGTGACACTAGTGCTTTTTGAGAAAATTCGAAATGAGGCCATGGCCCCTGGCGGAGCTGTAACATGAGGATGAAACCGCTGCTTACCTGGGCAAAGGCTTTCTTTTCTTTGTACGTTTCCCGGCTGCCTCTTCTCTTCAGGGAGCTCTGAAAGAGACCCAGGGGACATTCGGTTAAGGAGGGTCCCGTGCAAGAGCCAGGGGGGACCCGGCTCAGCCTGTTCCGGGGCAGGAACCACGTCTTCTAAAGGAGGAGGACTCACAGCCTCAGGTACGGTGGCAGAGGTAGGATCCCCATCTTAGCTCGTAACCAAAGACTTTCTCAAACTCCAAGACTCCCAGGAGGGGTCTAGGCCAGTATCAAGGTCCTGCCATTGCTGAGGCGCTCCGCTCCGCCACTGCTGGACAGAAACTTTCAGGAGATGGTCAGAGAGCTCTGGGGTGCAGCCTGAAAGCGGGCTGGCCCCCACCTCCAGTCTTGCACATGTGCCAGCAGGGGGTCGGAAATGCAAACACGTATAAATAAAATGGCCGAGGGATGTCTGGGACAGAAGGAGCCGAAACTGACCCCGGACCTCCAGTCAAGGGTGGAGACAGAAAGAGTGACTGGAGGAAGAACGAGACGCATCCGAGAGGAAGGTAACAGGCCCGAAACCCAGCAGGGTGAGTGTGATCCCGACACGAGGTGGGAGAAAGCAGTCTGGAAGGCGAGGATCAGCTGGCATCCTTTGGAACCCAGCGAGCCTGTGCTGGGAAGAGGTCCCCCGATGGTGCCCCCTCTCCTCTGCAGATTTGCCGGAAGGCAATGGGATGGGGGTCCCCGGAGCTCCCTCTGTGGGGGCAGTGCCCTCTCTGCTTCATGCCTTTGCTGCAGCTCCCACAACACAACAGCTAGGAGGGAGGCTCTCCAAGTCACCTCCGTCACGTCAGATGTCATGATAATCGACTCAGTTCCTCCATTTCAGTGTCTCAGCGTCAGAAGGTCAGGCCGTGCCATTTACTGGATGAATTTCAGGATTAAGAAACAATGAATAGCCAAGACGTGGAAGCAACCTGAACGTCCATCAACAGATGACTGGATAGAGGAAGCTGTGTTATCGTGACACAGTGGAATACTACTCAGCCATAAAAACAACAAAATAATGCCACTGTAGCAACATGGGTGGACCTGGAGATTGTCATTCTATGTGAAGTAAGTCAGAAAGAGATATGATATCACTTATATGTGCAATCTAAAAAAAAACTTATTTGAAAACAGAAACAGACTTTCAGACATGGAGAACAAACTTATGGTTACCAGGGGGGAGGGGATGAGAGGGGATAAACTGGGAGTTCGAGATTTGCAGATACTAAACTGATACATAGAGAATAGATAAAGAATAAGTTTCTACTGTACAGCACAGGGAACTATATTCAACATCTTGTAACTTATGGTAAAAAAGAATATGAAAAGGAATGTATGTATGTTCACGTGTGACTGCAGCACTGTGCTGCACAGCAGAAACCGACACAACAGTGTAAAGTGACTATGCTGCGATCAATCACTCAATGAAACCCAAGAGGAAAAAAAGATTCAAAAATTCATTCACAACAGGGGTCGGCCAACTCTGGCCCACAGGACCCATCCGCCCACAGCCCATTGTGAGATACTGGAGCACAGCCTCGTCTGTGGATCAGGAGGGAAACAGATCCAGACCATGTCTTAAAAAAATTCCAGATGAATTAAAAATCTGGATGTAGAAATAAATCACCAAAAAAAAACTAGACGGAAAGAGCTGAATTTCCATTTGTTCTTGGGGCGTGGCCTTTATGAACACGAGAAACAAAGGTTGGAACATCCAAGGAAAAGATGAAGAGAGTGGACTGGTCAGACTTTCAACTTTTATATATCAAAAGAAACCATTACAGTATTATACAACGTGACACAATGGGGGAAAAAGTTTTCGAACACAAGACAAAGAATCATATTTTGTAAGCAACATGAAAGCCATCTTAGTAAAAAAAAAAAAAAGGCCAATAAACACAATGCCTAGTAATTAAAACAATAAGATCTTATTTTTCACTTTAGGATTTACAGACCCAGAGAAGCATGACACCCAGGGTTTGCAAGTGTCCACGACACTTAGAGATTAAGGAAGTAAACACGTTAAAAAGGAACAGCAGATTATAAACAGCATATATCTTGTTATTTCAACTTCCACCTGATAGATCGTAAATACACATTTGTATTATACGTGTGCGTGAGAAGAGCAGCCTAGACAGGTATCTATAAACCTCAAAATGTTAACAGTGCTCTTCTTCAGGTGACTGAGTGATGAGCAATTCTAACTTTCTCTTCTGTGGCTTTTCAAAGTCTCCAGATTATCTACAGTGAATATCATTTCCTTTGCAATTAAAAAGAACCCCCCCCCAGGAAATTAAGATCTGTCCCTGAAGGAGGGCGGAGAACAGAGGCCATCACTGACCTGCTGTGTAGGATTATGGCTGCGCTTCACCAGAAGCTACCCGCTGGCCTCCAGGTCCCTTTCCATAGGGTGTTCTCATCAGTCTGGTTCTGAGGTGTAACTGACGCACACACGTTAGGTTAAAAAGACCAGGACGTGCCCTGAGGGTGGGGGAACCAGCCAGGTACCCCCGGGCACTGCAGGTCCCCAGCTCCAGCCGGGGGTGCAGTCCCGCCCCCTGAGTCTCACCCAGGGCGGTGCCAAGTGCTCTGGGGGTCCTGGCTGGGGACCCTGGGCACAGGATGTTCTGTGTGAGCACATGGTCACCTCCCTCCTCTGGGTGACTCCGACCAGTGGACTCCTTCAAGAAAGAGTAAGGAAAGGGGTGAATACAGACTATCAAACAGACCCCACGACGGGGGCTCGCCCATGACTCAGCCCCCTCTTCTGTTTTAGGCTGGCCAACTGCCAGCCAATCAACTCTACATTCCTATTGAAAAGGGGGGGAAAAAAACTGAGTTTGAATCCAAATTGAATCCATCTAAGGCTGATGCATTTGCTGAGTATTGAATACGATTAAATAAAATATGAAGTTGGGCAATTACTTAGACTTTTATGTCAGTTCTTAATGTTTCCTATTTTAAGTTAGCAGCCAGTTTCTCCCAAGCAATTTCAGAAGAACTAAAGAGCTCTCGATTACTAAAACGTTTCAGAGACAGATTTGCCGCTTAAAATTTAGATTGGTCATAAACAGAGGCAGAGGGAAATGAGGATGCTGTGAACGAGTCAAATGGTAAAGGGCAGAGGTGGAGACGACGGTTTCCAGAATTCTTAGTCTTATTATTTAGAAAGCTGTTTGGATTTGGGGGGCTGATATGCAGCACACAGCTATACAACCAGATTAAGAAAATGAAGGTGCCCAGGTCTTCTCATCAGGGTTCTCTGACCCGTGTGACAGTCCTCAGTTAGGTGTCATGAGATGTGATGGACAGAAATTACTAGCTGGCCTCCCCTCCGGCCAGAAGCAGCAGGTCCTGGCCGGGAGGTCCCTCCTTCCTCTCCTGTGCTCCGCTCTGCTGAAGTCAGCTGCACCCCAGCTACGCTGCGGGTCCAACACGTGTGAACCCCCTCAGATTTGGTGGAAAACCCTCCGGGGCTACAGTGGGAAGGAAACCTCTCTCCTTGGCCCGTCTGGGAGGGTGATGGTGATACTAACAACTGCCATTTGTCGGATACCTCCTCGTGCCAAGCGCAATGCCAGACATTCTTGACGTAGCCAATCTCGCTCAGTTCTCACGGGAGCCCTGAGATAGATAATATGTATGATACATTCTTACCACTGGTTAACGGACAAGGAAACACAGTCGGAAGTTAGGTACTGTTTCAGGGTCCCCCAGACTTGGAGATGGGGCGCCCTCCTGACCCGACCCTGACTCGAAGCCCTCCCTCCCAGTCACAGCCCAGCCTCCCAATTCCAGCTGGCTTTCTGTTTTCTGGAGGTTTCTGAGCTCCAAATTGCTGAGTTTTTTGTTTTTTCTTTTTCCATCCAAAAAGTCTCTTTCTC